CATTCTCCTTACCTTGTGATGATCAGAATCTGTTGGCACTAGTGCTTCCACCATTGTGCTGTCACCTGCTGCATCTCTCCTTGACGGAAAGTTTGGCAATTCTACCGATGACTCTGCAGAGTTGCACATACTTCTGTTCCAACACAGCTTTTTTGAAGATGGTCTTTTTGAATCATTATCTTTGTCTGCAGAGCTGTTTGGGACATTTTCAGTCTTATCTGCAAAAGTTTTTGTCAAGGTGGACCTGAGGGAATAACAGTTAATTTACTGCCCAACTTCTGGATATTGTGCTAGAGAAATAAGAAGACATAGGTTAACTATGTGTTACTCATAACTGATAGAAAGTTCAATATAGGTAAAGGTCTAAGAAGGAAATGGGATGCTCCAAGTGTTGGAGAGCTAGCTTTTATTTTAGAACTATGACGCCATACAATACACAGATACTTAGAACAGAAGCAGCTAGTAGGAGAGATTGCTCTTTCATCATAAATGGTGCTCTGTCTTGGGTCTCATACTGTACTATCATTTTTTTCTGTTCTGGTGGAGCTGTTTAATCTGAATCTAATCCTCTCTTCTACCCTTAAGCAATCTCACCTAATATTGGGACAAGAGAATCACAATTATGAATGCTGTATAAAAACACAAATAGAGTTCTTCATTTCAACCTCAATTTTACCATAATTGAAAACTGCAAGAGACAGCTGGATTTTTGCCCCTTAGACAAAAAGTCCCCAAAGCCACACCTCAAATTTTGCGTTACCTTTTCTGCCTTTGTGAAAGGCACTGAGATTGCTGAGAGATCCCGTGTTCAATGTCTGCTAATGTAGCCAAAACAAAAGTGGCCTCCACCATCATGTCTTCAATGCTGAAAGCAATTGGTCTAAGAACAAAGTTGGAAATTAATCTGCATGAATATACACATATTTAGGGGAGAGAAGCCACACCTCAGATACTTTTAGCCATGTCTTGTGTGTGTGAATATGTGTGCACACAGAAATATACACACTGGAATGGATGCTTGACAAATGTTGGATTACTTGTTTATTCACTAATTAGTGAACACTATGAGACTGCTTCTTGTTACAGCTTTATATTGCTCCAGTGAGTAAAACCTATGGAATTTTGCTTAAAAACCTGTGCTTAAAATATTTAATACAAATGCTTACACATGTGTACAAGTGCTAAAACTTCTGACTTCTTTCTCTAGACTATTCCCAAAAGAAGTGTGTTGTGGCCTGAACTTCCAGTGTTGACCACTTTAAACTTCCGTGGGTTTTTTAGTGCTCAACGATCTTGAAAAACAGGTCAGTGATGGATTGAATTGAGTAAGCCCTACTCAAGTAAGAGCCTCCAGTGTGGCATGCTGGAGGGAAGGGACAGAATCGAGCTAGATCTAGACAGGTTACAGAGGTGGGTGGATGAGAATAGGATGGAATTCAACAAAGACAAGTGCAAGGTGCTGCATCTAAGAAGGAACCAGCAACACACCTCTAGGCTGGGGAACACCCTCCTTGTCAACAGAGAGGCAGAAAGGGATCTTAGAGTCATTGTTGACTCCAGGATGGACATGAGCCACCAAAGTGAGGAAGCGGTTAGTAAGGCTATAACCACACCTTGTTGTGTATCTACAGATGCATCACAAGCAGATCCAGGGAGGTGATCCTTCCCCTCTGTGCAGCATTGGTCAGGCCACAGTTGGAGTAATGCATCCAGTTCTGGGTGCCGCACTTCAAGAGGGATATGGCTAGCATTGAGAGGGTGTAGAGGAGGGCGACTTGCATGGTCAAGGGGTGGCGGGGCAGGCCCTGTGAGAAGAGGCTAAAGGGCCTGAACCTATTCAGCCTCCACAAGAGAAGGCTGAGAGGGGATCTGGTGGCCATTTACAAACTCACTGGGGGGCAGCGAGAATTGGGGGAGGCTCTGTTCCCCTGGGCACCACCCAGGATTACTAGGAATAGCAACCACAAATTGTTAGAGAGAAGGTTCAGGCTGGACACCAGGAGACATTACTTTACAGTTAGAGCTGCCAGGCTCTGGAATGGGCTGCCAAGTGAGGTGGTGCTCTCTCCTACCTTGGGGGTCTTCAAGAGGAGGCTGGACAGATTTGGCTGGGTTGATATGACCGCAGTACCCATTCCTGCCTGGGGCAGGGGGTTGGACCTGATGAACTGTTTAGGTCCCTTCTGACCCTAAGCACTATGAAACACTATTCAATGTTTTGTATGACCACTTAACTAAAAACACAGCGTTTTAATTTCCCTTCAAGGCTATTTTAAGGGGTTATTTTATATTTGATATAGCAACTAAATTAAACATACATTAATATTGTATCGGTTCATTCAAAAACATACTTTCCAGACGTATCAAAGTGAATCAAAACAGGAGCAGTAGTGGCCTCTGCAAACGTGAGTAGTCCCTACAAATAGAAAGGTTTTAAGACAGAATTAATAAAAACACCAGTGACAACAATGAGCTAAACTTGATCTGAGCCTTCAAGAGGCCAAGAAGTGATCAACCAAAAATGTTATATTACCCTCAGTTCTTTAAGACAAAATGTTACTTCAGAGTCTACTCCAACTTGAAAGTAGTCAAATTCGTCTGGATGAAGTTGTATCTCAGTGTGCATTGCCTTTGAAAAATCTGTTCAAACATTAGCAGAAAAGCAAGGGTTAAAACGCACAAGATAAAATCCTGGTCCATCGGAACTGATTTTTAAAGTATTTTCAGACAAATATGAAGCTATAAGCCATTTAAAAATAAATGCTTTGAATATTCCAAGACTTTTTAAAGCAACCTGTATTTTTTTCGCTGTGTGGTGCAACTGCAGTCTGTTATGCACACTCCCAATGATTATGTTGTTCACAGGGCATTCATTATAACTGTATTTTCAGCTGTTTATTTCAACACAGGTATTAAAGTTCATGTAAAGACCTCATGAGAAGTGAGGTTTTTAAATAGTTGTCAACCCCTTTGATGAACTATATCGGAGGCAGACAGTGGCAAAAAAAGGCTTTTAAAGCAGAAAACCATTAACGTTGTCTATTACTTGTACAATATTCCTAAACATTTCCAAGCCCTGTGGCCAGATCTGTCCCCACCACACCCACCAAGCATGCCAGATTGGGCTCACCGGTAGGATTCAGCCCACAGATGGACCTGGCACTGCCCATCCAGCCTGTGAGATGAAAAGGTTGGGCACTACTGATGCAGAACATGGCTTAGGATATTCAATGGGAAAAAAACCTAGTAAGTTGTCTCCTTTATCCTCCCTTATTTTTGTTACCCTCCTTTTTCTTCTATATCTTGATATACCT